AATCTCTGAGTTGATTTCTAATTTACATTGTACTAATAAAATCTCGGTGCTAAAGATATGCAAAGTATGACAATATATTAATTTTTAAAAAGCTCAGATAAAACAGCAAAGACACAAACCTGTGTGTGCACACATGAATGCACTCATACAAATATTCTTGGCAATGCAAATTTATGATATTTATAAATTTCCTCCCCTGGTATGAAAATGTTAAGAAGGGTGTTGTTAAGAGTCTTTCTTTAAGTTTCATTTCTATATATGAAAAACAAGTCTCAAATCTGGTAGGAAGTAATTTCTTCTAGCTTAGGCAAACAGAGGAAATATTTGTTACTGTTCACTAAAAAATACCAGTTTGAAATATTCTCATTCAGTTCCTCCCATAGTGCTTTACAGCTTTACTCCAGTTTCATGGTTTGGTAATCTTTGGACTGGTTATTTTCCAAAAAGGCTGACAATCTCTTTTGTCCTTTTTTTAAAAAAAAAATGTAAAAGAAGATGTCTGATAATACCAACAAGTTTAAACTGAGCTGGAAGTCTGGGCAACCAGCCCTACATCAGCAGCTCAAGCTCAAGTGTGGATTGGGGGAGAAGGGAAAATACAACCTGGTGGGATTTCTAAGATCCACTCTCAAGTGTTCTCAAGACACGTAAGTAGCATCCTTCATGCTGAAGTCTGTCTTGTGCAAAAGTACCCCCATATAGGAAAAGCATCAGGAGGTCACAGAGCATTCTGAAGAATCAACGCAATGTCACAGGCTGATGACAGGTTGACATCCAAGGTCATGGACCAGTTTTCTTTGGGGGATGCCTTCATAGAGCAATAGTGTCACATCAGCAAAATGTCACTGAAAGCTGTCACCAAATTCAACAAGCAGGGCAGGGTACTACTCACTAGTGCATCGACAGCCCAACAAATCGAAAATCCTTACTACCTTTTCTCAAGACATATTCAACATAATATTGTGTTAAAGTAGCTTCTCAGTACAAACCTACATAATAAAGCCCTACAGAGAATGGTAGTTCCAGGCTTTCTCATGAATGTGGTGTTTGGCCTTTTCCCAAGCATCTCTTCAACAATTTTAGCCAAACCTCAATGGTAGTAGTTACCCCTTTCCAATACTGAGAAGAAAAATGTAAACAGAAAGTCACCAAAGTGTGTATAGGATGAAAAGTCTAATCTTTGCTTTCATAAGGATGCAATCAACAGTAATGAATAGAAAATGCAGAATAATGGTGGTGGTTTGTATCACAGACTGAATCAGAGAGGTCTGCGATCTAGTCCTCACTCCTTTGTTTCTATATTGTATCTTGGAACATGATTTGACACCTAAGCATCAGTGTCCTCATCAATAAAATGGGAATAATAGAACCTACACTATGGGATAAAAGAAAATATTAAATTAAATTATATAGATAAAGCACTTTGTATAATATCTGGAAAACAATCAATCATGAAAATACTACCTATTGTTATATTAAAACTATTACCATTATTACTAGTTATAGCTAGAAAATGCTTCTTAAAAGTGATCACTTTGAGTATAACTTGTAATGTCATCTGATGTGGAAGTATAATAAGGATATCTAATTCTTACTGATTTAGTGAGTCAAACAGAAAACCAAAACAAATTGAATCATTCAACTGGTGTATTTAGAATTGCTGATGATTATAGCATTCAAGAAAGTTAGTGAAACACACAAATTGCAATTCAACTGTTCCTGAAAATCTCCAAAATCAATTTTCATTTGTCTAGTTCAAGAATAGACAGAGCTTATTCACTTAAAAGTATATATTTAGGGTCTTCTAAAAAAGAAACATCATGCAAGGTCAATGTGGAGGGAGGACATAAAGGTGTTGATAGAAGAAGGTTGTGCCAAAATCATTTGTTTCATCTTCAATTACAAAAAAGTATAGATTATATTTACACAGCACTTTATGGTTTTCATGGAACTGCCATTTTATTTCAACACACAAAAACTCACACATACTCATGAGACAACAACATGTACATATATAGCTTCTGTACTCAGCACAGATTCCATTCTAAGTCAGTTTTCCTAGTAGAGCCCTGGTGCATAGACAGAGAGGGAAGGTAAGACATTAGCTACAGAGGTTGTAAGACCACTCCAGAAAATTCATAAAAAGGATAATCTGATTTGCAAATTTTGAAAAGGGCTGGTATATGCATTTCATTTATCATCTAATTCAAAAAACTGCACAACACAACTTGGACAAAGTCACCAGTATCAAAGGTCCTAATGTAGCATAATTTGTGTGCAGTATGCTGCATTCTGACAGTGCTATAAACCAGGGAGACAGTTTACTGACAATTCTGTGCTACCAGATACCAACTCAGGCCTCTGTCCAGCCTTACACTGTCAGTTCTCATGGAAACATGAGCAGTTACACAGCCTCTGAGGACAAGAAGTTTGGATTACAAACGTTGAGATGGACAGATTTCATATTTTCATTGCAGATTTTTTTGTCGTTTCAAACTGCTGAGTATATATTTTTTTAAAGGCAGGAAATGCAACTAGTGTTTGTTTCTAGCATGGCTTCTGTTTTGAGATTTCTTCTTTGTAGAAGAAATGTGTTGCCCAGCTGTCTTGAATCCCAATCAGGATATGGTTTCAGCATGAAATATATTATAAGAATGATTTTAGCTGGTTATAAACAAGAATGAAAATGAGGCTGGGGCTCTGTTATCCAATTTTTTCCCCACAGAGGGGACACTCTGGTTCAGTCCAATGAGATCGATAGGAATAAATGAGGTAAAGTTTAGTTCTATTCTATCCAAGAGGGAGAGTAACTGTGAAAGACAAAAGGTCATATTAGTGAGCAGACAGAGCCATGGAGATTCTCCCTTATGGAGAGTCTCAGCAACAAGAATCCTGTGGCAACCGGCCAAGTACGGCAGTCAATAAGTCTAAGAGTGCTTCAGCCTGAACTGGCTTGCTGGAGAGTTTAACACTTACCTGTATTAATACTTCTAGATGCAATGTGCACATGTGCACACACACACATCTACACACACTCAGTGAGAGGGAGAGGGAGAGGGACAGAGAGAGAGAGAGACAGAGAGAGAGAGAGAGAGAGAGAGAGAGATTTCAACAAAAAGTAATTAAGAATTCCCTGTCTGGAGGCTTCACGGTTAGTAATACTGGTGAATAGGAAAGGATAAAAAAAAAGGTTATTTAATTTCTTCTTCTTTAGAGATTTGTGTAAGAAACAAACGTCACCCTATGCTATTTTTTATCCTAAGATTTTTGAGTGCTAATGCTTGTGAAATGTAGTCACTAAGTACATTTGCTTATGTTCTCCTCCAATGAAGGCATTTAATCATGTGGGTTTTATAATAGATGGAATTTGAGATGTTAGTGATATGCATGTCTCACTGTAGATTCAACTACCCAGTGTGATGAGAACACAGAGGAAGAAATCTGACTGGAGACTTCCTGAAGGAAAACATTTATGAGTATTTTATCTAATTTGATTCATACAAATGTTTCCAAGGCATCTCCCATCCTCTACTACTTTCATTGATAAGGAACAGAGGCATACTGACAGAAAATAAAATGCCAAGGACACAAGGAAACTTGGGTTTTGCCCCAGCTGATTCTAAAATCTATAAGCTATCACACCATCTTAAGATGTTTTAGGATTTTTTTCATTAATATATTTTTAAAGGTAAATTTTAAGTCTATAGAAAGACTGAGTGGAAAGTGCAGGTGCCATAAATCCCCTCACCCTTTCATCTTAGCCAGAATTTGGTGGTGTTAGTTTTTCAGATTTTAGCTCTTCTTCTTCTTCTTTAAAGATGTGTGTATTTATTTGAAAGACAGAGTTACACAGAGGGAGATGGAGAGAGAGAGAGAGAGAGAGAGAGAAAGAGAGAGAGAGAGAGAGCACTTCCATCTGCTGGTTCACTCCCTAAATGACCACCAAGGGCCAGAGCTGATCTGATCCAAAGCCAGGCTCAGGTCTCCACATGGGGGCAGGGGCACAAGGACTTGGGCCACCTTCCACTGCTTTCCCAGGCTCATTAGCAGGGAGCTGGATTAGAAGTGATGCAGCCGGGACTTGAACCAGTATCCATATGGGCTGCCGGCGCTGCAGGAGGCAGTTTTACCCACAGCATCAGCCTCAGATTTTAGCTGTTCTAGCACATGTGTAGTGGTGGCTCGTTGTTTTAATTTGATGACATATACATTTCCTAATTTTCAGCTTATTTCCTTACCTACTGTATTGTTTTTCTAACATATGTGATTTTGACTTATATTTCCTGAAATTCAATTATTATTTAATATATGAATGTATTATTTAATGTCCATTATAAGCAGTAACTCTTTTTGAGGTTGGCCTGTTTTCCTTTCAATTACAATTTCATTATTTTCTCTTTCCTCTTTAGTTTGACATATTTCATTCATTATTTCTTTTTTTTAATTATTTATTTATTTATTTATTTATTTTTGACAGGCAGAGTGGACAGTGAGAGAGAGAAACAGAGAGAAAGGTCTTCCCTTGCCGTTGGTTCATCCTCCAATGGCCGCCGCGGTCGGCGTACCGCACTGATCCGAAGGCAGGAGCCAGGTGCTTCTGGTCTCCCATGGGGTGCAGGGCCCAAGCACTTGGGCCATCCTCCACCGCACCCCCAGGCCACAGCAGAGAGCTGGCCTGGAAGAGGAGAAACCGGGACAGAATCCGGCGCCCTGACCAGGACTAGAACCCGGTGTGCTGGTGCCGCAAGGCGGAGGATTAGCCTATTGAGCCGCGGCGCCGGCCTCATCCATTATTTCTTAAAAACAAACTATTAGTTTGTACCTCCTTCTATTTCATTCATCACCAGTTAGGCTGGCTATCTTTAATTCCTCTGATGATAATTTTAAATTTTCTTAAAATTTTTTCCCTCATTATCTATTCATGTACAAATAACAGAAATTTGGAAATACTGTTAGAGATGAAACTAAAGAAAAAAATATCTGATGAAGAAATCCTTTACCTTGGTTGACAATAAATCTCAACTTCTGTATTGTTGCCAGATTGCCACTAACCCGATAAATTCCATCAACATCTAGACCTGAAAACAAAAAGGCATATTTTGTATTAGCACACATAAGAATTGAAATATTAAAAGAAAAAAAAAGGAAATCTGGGAAGGAAGAGGGTAGGAAATCAAATCAAGTATCTCATCACAAAGAAAATAAATTTCTGTGTCCTAAACAATCTTCAAAATTTTAATTCCATCAAATGAATCATGAAGTTCACTGACAGTTAAACACTGATAAACTGAACTCAAGAATCAAGTTGAGGCACAAAACAGTGGTCGATAACATGAGATTAAGTACTGTAGTTAGGATGTATTCCCAAGGGCTGGGAATCAAACTGTGGAAATAAAGAACCTCCAGGTATATGTGTATTGGTGCCCTTTTTTGGAAAGATAAGTTATTTCCTTCTCTCTGCCTTTCACCTTTCCTGGTTCCCTCTCCCCTCTTTTGTCTCTCTCTTTCTCCCTCTCCCTCTCCTTCCATTCCATTCTACTTCATTTCTTTCCATTATTTCTTCCCTGTGATTGCTCTAACATGGTATATATTGGTTTAGTTATTTGAAACCACACAGTGACAATTATATTCTAAATATATAACTAATTTAATAACTTCTAGTGTATTATAGGCAATGAAGTGCTCCATTATAGCGGGAAATAAAAAAATCTTGGAGAAAAGGTGAAATTAATTTCAGATTATTTTAGAATTGGTCATCTATAATTCAAAACAACTTACCCTGGAAGTGAATTTGGATAATTGACTACTTGTTTTCAACTCATCTACTTACAGTGTCTAGTTATTTTCATGTCCAAATTATCAGGAAAATGAAGAAACAGGAGAGGGAAAAGCAAAACCCTTACATAAACACTATCATTGTCACAAGGAAGTGCTGATAATACATTTTTAATGGCGGTAATGTAGGTTCTTTGATGTCTCTAGGCCCTCAGACAGGCCTGGGTGAGATTATCAGCCAATGTAGAGGTCATTATCTCGGTGTTTTCCCTTGGGAGAGGATATAGCCCGATAGCTAATCATTGTAATTCACAATGGTGAGCATTAAATAAATTGGTAGAAATTACTGTCATAGCATAACAGAATAAAGGCTTTACAAAGCTCTTTACTGACATGAAATGGATTCCTTTATTGCTTAATCATCTCTATATTTTTACATAGTTTATATTAGAAACATTTCTGTCATTATATGAAATATTTCATCAGTATGTCAAGGTAGAATAAAGTAACTTATAACACACATTAATGGCATAATTTAGAACAGTCATTTACTATGGTTTACTCTCCCATGCAATAAACTATAGAATAACTTGGGATAATGACAATAAAATGGAATAGCTATTAGCAAATGTATTAATTTATGTGTTTTGCAGTTCTTGAATAATCAAGAGTAAATTACCTAGATTCTATCCCTTCCTAAGAACTATGAATTGTGAAGAATTGGATGAGGCTGGACACCTGTAAGCAAGTTGTAAAGGTTTCCAAGACATATGCTTATACAAATTTTTTTTCCTGATGCACAAAATAGCTCCATTAATCTAAAAGTACTCCAGTTTGTTTGTTTGTTTTAGAGTGCAATGTATGCTTGATGGCTTAAAAGTAATGATCACCATATTCAATTTTTAGAATATATTTGATTCTTCAGTTTAGTATTGGTACATGTTGATCTTAAATTTATGCAGAGTACCAGAATGTTTCTAGATTGAATTATGAGTAATTCCTTAACCATTTCTTTCTCACTTTGTCATTAGTGTTTATTATTAACTTTAGCTTATGAAATTTTTATTAAAAGGTAACAGATGTTAAAAAAGTAAAATTAGTATATTTAAGTAAGTGTGTTCCTTTCAAGATCTTCTTATTTTTTCTAAACATGTAGCCATTAAGGAAGATATGTTCGAATTCTCTAATATCACCTTCAGTACTCCATAAAAATTGTACATAATGCCAAGTTTGGAGACTTTGGGGAGAGTAGTTAAATATCATTCAGAACAATGAGGAGTGATAAATAATTTCACCTTTCTTGCCACCACAAACAAACAAATAGGCAAAGAGACAGTTTGAACAAAGAAAAATTGTCCTCTGCTTTCCCATTGTTTTGAAGGAATTTAGAGACAGACCACTTTAGAAAGTAGAAACATCAGTGGGATATGTGTTTCTGTGTTTTCCAAATAAGAAATCCAACATAGCTTTTTATATATCCAAATTAGTCCAACTTTTTTAATCTAAAGAAGGATTAAAGATGAAACTTGAATTAGTATCTACTATAGTAAAAATGAGAAAGGTGACTTGATATTTCTGTTTTAGCTAATTTTCATTGTGCTAATTATATGGACACTTATTAGAGATCAATAATGAAGGTATTTTAAGTCCAAAAATTTTACTGCAAGTAAGATTTTACTTAAATTTCACTTTCACATATGTGTGCCTTATATACAAATTTTAAAGTTAAATGTATTTGTATTTGGAAGCTAGGACTCCCCTTTTTTCAAATATTATTTTGTTTATTTTTGCCACAAATATGGTTGTTAAAACTTCATTTTACACCTTTTTGAAACCAACAGTTAAGAATGTTATACTTCTATAGTTTTAATGATCCATTATTACTTTAAAATTTACTGTATGTGGATGAAATGGTCATTTTTCCATTCAGTTACTGTTTATAGTCGTTGTCTACGTTCCCACTAAACTAGGGTCTTTTTGCTTTTTACTTGTGAAACTTCTTATGCAGTAAAGTAAAAAAGCCTTTTTACTGAAATTTAAATTTAAAATATGTTATCTCAAAAACTAACCAAAAAAGCCGGCGCCGCGGCTCAATAGGCTAATCCTCCACCTTGCGGCGCCGGCACACCGGGTTCTAGTCCCGGTCGGGGCGCCGGATTCTGTCCCGGTTGCCCCTCTTCCAGGCCAGCTCTCTGCTATGGCCAGGGAGTGCAGTGGAGGATGGCCCAGGTGCTTGGGCCCTGCACCCCATGGGAGACCAGGAAAAACACCTGGCTCCTGGCTCCTGCCATCGGATCAGCGCGGTGCGCCGGCTGCAGCGGCGGCCATTGGAGGGTGAACCAACGGCAAAAGGAAGACCTTTCTCTCTCTGTCTCTCTCTCTCACTGTCCACTCTGCCTGTCAAAAAAAAAAAAAAAAAAACTAACCAAAAAAAAGGAGAAGGAAGGTAGGGGGAAGAGGAGAGAGGCAGGAAATGAAAAATTAAAATAAAAAATTTTAAAAATAAAAAAATCAAAAACCAAATATTACTGTACATGCTTTCAAAATGTGTATGTTATCCAGAGTCATAAGCTGAATTTTAACTACTGAAATCTCCCAATATCCACAACTTCTCTTTCTCTTGGAGAAATGTGAAGTTACATATAAGAAAGAACGGGGGGACTTCCAGACATTTTAGCAGAAATCTGTTTTTGAAGTTCAGTAATCAAAAACACTCGAAAGACCAGTATGGGTTTAGGATATTATATATGAACAACTGGAAAGCACTATACTCTTTAAAGATTGCAGCCTCATCTCAAATTAAAAATAACCCAACTTGGTTTTGGAATAAAGGGAGAAGTGCTGGTGATGGAGATAAGGAGAATGATTCAGTGGGCCACCACTGTGGCTTTAGAACTGAGCCACAGCACAGAAACTTCATTGTGGATGAAAAGAGAGACCAGAGTTAGAGGGAGTAAAGTCAAACATATTAGATGCATATGAATCTAAGGGGACACACTTCCAAGCCCTTTAGATTCAGAGATTTCAGCACCATCTATCTTGCGAATGATAACAATCTCTGACATTAGTGGCTCCTGCTTTGAATGGCTCGTACTCCCCTGGAATCATACTTTTTAAATTACATAAATAGGGTGAAAATGACAAAGTGGATATTAAAGAGGAGGGTATTGCATTTTGCAAAATAATCTGGAACTTATCAGTGAATTTTAGCAATTATAAATTATAGAGGTATAGTCTTGAAGTTGATTAGCTTTCTCCTGAGTGACTCACAGAATGGCAAACCCCATGTCCTAGAAATATTACCCAAATTACTATTATTCACGTGCTGTCCTGTTTTTATTCCAAGAACTTTGAAAGCTATGCCAAACCAAACCAATGTAAATTGGTGGATTTGGACATCCTTTTCATGACCACATTATCCATGCTGGATTGGAAACTACTTATTTTGGAAATATAATTAAACTTTGTATGATTTTTAAATGAGCAATGTCTTCAAGGTACCCACATTGTACTTTGGCAAAGTCTGGAGAAAAATTGCTTTGAGAGGTACCTTTCTCAAGAAAATAACACGACTGTCAATGCTGACAGGAATTTTGCCTGTTATGCTAAAAATACTCAGGGAACACGATGAAACTAAGAAAATTTACCTTTTTTTTTTTCTTATGAAACTGCATTAACAGTAGCAACTAAAAATTCTTGGAAGAAATCTACACATTCACTGAAATAGATTTATTGAATCGTCATCAGCTGACCTTCTTAGGTTTCAAAATAGTGTTTACCATTGGCAGAAATGACCAGGTATTATTACTGCAGTTGATTTTTAAAAGTCTTCACCTTCTTTTTCTCCTGAAGAAGCTTAGACAAGGATAGACACACAATTAGGAGTTATTAGACCAAATGGTGGTTTAAGCCCAGTGGAAAGAATGCAGCTGTCATAACTAATTCCCACCATAAATCTTAGAAACTTTCCAAAAAGAAATCAAAGCGACCAGTACTGTGTCCAGAGTTGACTGGCTTATCTTCCAAAATATGACCAGTTATTGACCATGTGGATGAGACTGTTAAAAATAGCTGCAAAGTACGGATTAGGTAGCAGTTTTTGGTAGCCTGAATGATGGATAAACCACAGAGATGTGGAGTTTGAGCCTGGTTCAGAAGTGTGCCCAAGAAGGCTGCTTGTTTTTCTGACCCATAACTAAATGCATCTGAACCTGTGCAGCCTGCAAATGCGGGCTGGGAATTTTGCACAGGCGATTTATGGAGCTTCCTAATTCCTAGGAGGGCAGAGCTACCACACAAAGAG